TAGGCAATATAATATATATACTAAATATATATATATATATATATATATATATATATATATATATATATATATATATATATATATATATTGACCATTTCTTTTGCTAGTTTTTATTTCATGTTGTTTTTCTTTGTTTTGTGTTAGTGTTGTGATTCATGTAAGTGTTGCTGCGCTGATATAATCTTGTATATTCAATATACATTCTGTATATCAGTTTGTGTTCGTTTTGTCGTGTATTTCATGCTTGTGTGTTTGTGTGTGTGGTGTTTATGTTCTTGTGTGCTTTGTGGTTGTTAGTGCGTTTAGTGTAGTTTGTTGTGAATGGTTCAGGCATAGGACGTATTTGCGCGAGCCAGGTAGTCCCACCTTTTCCGTACCGGACATTCAGCGCTAAATGCATTGTGGTCGGTCTTCCGCAACCCAGAGTGTGTGCAGTTGCAGCACTGTGGTTCATTACCTGCGGTAAAGTCTGCGCATTTCTCGCGCAGATGCGGTCCTCCACAGTGACTACATCTGTCCACACTCTCGGTGCAAAATTTCCGACCATGTCCGTATGCAAGGCATTTCGTGCATTGGATGAGCGGAGACTGATCCTCGACTCTGACCCTTTGTAGGTCTAGATAGAGAGCTCCAGTCTCCGTCATCCTCTGCCAAACATTAGGCTTCACCTGCAGGATGATGTGCACTGTCTTCGAATTTCTTGTCCGCTTTTTTAAATTTAACTGTCATTTCTATGTCCTCTTCCGTAAGACCAATGGAAAACATAAAAACTTTATTCTGGGCGTATATCGCCTTAATTATATCTTCGTCTTCACTGTCCATAAAAACATCTTTCAAGATGACGAGAGGATTCTTATTTTTTATAGGCGCTACTATTAGTCCATTCCCGCGACTCTCTATTATTTTTTTGGACTTTCGTCCTCTCCTCTTCAGTGTCGCAACCCAATATAATTTTTTTGGTTTTTGGCCTTACGAACCTTGTTTATTTTAAGGCCAGTACATCTAGCATCAACAGCTTTTTTTCACCCTGGCGAACACCTCGTCAGCAGTCTCCAGACCACCTTCGAGGGTGACCGCCATTGAGTGAAGTGCAGGGCGGTGGATAGGTTTGGCTGCTGCGACGCTGGCGTATGACTTAAGGACTGGTGCTGTGTTTATTTCGCATGCCAGTCCTTTTGTGACCTCCAAAAGATCTTTTTTGGCTGCGATGACATCATCGGCAATACCACCGATCAGATCTTTAATCAGGGCGTGCGTTCGACTTTCGACCTTCTCGGTCTTTTCTTCTATGGCAGCCCTGGTTTCATCGATCCTATCGGTGATCTTGTCGATCATGTCAGAGCCTCGGTCGTCGTTACTATTGTGGAGTGCCTCTATGTCTGTTTTCAGACTTCGCTCCATTTCTTTTATACGCTCTGTCAGCGTCGCTTCCACCTCTCCCAATTTCTCAATGATGATATCTTGCCCTTCGGACGACAAGGTTTTTGTTGGTGTTCTTATTTTTAAGGCCTCTGCTTCGAGACTTTGTATGCGTCCGCTGAGCTCGAATATGGCTCTTATGCCCTTGTCTGACTGTACCTCCAGGAATTGTTTGATATCTTTCCTCATCTGAGGATACTCTTGGACCTTCGAGGGTATATCCTCGAAGGTTTTCATCATTTCCTGGAGGAGCTGATCACTCGACAATGCAGCGTAATTATGTTTCTGCTTTTTGTAGATGTCCATATTGTCGAGCGATCTTCTTTTAGTTTCCGGTCTTTTAATGAAGGTCCTGGCAGCATCCTGTGCTGCTGCGGTTGTGGTGGCAGGGCTGGGGGTGGTGGGCTTTTTGGCAGCGCCAGAGGTCGTGGGTGTGCGATACATGGTTTCTGTGTGGATGTGTATGAGTGCGGTGTATAGTGTTAGTTATGTATGGATCGGGGAACGTTGTCCCTATGTAAAACCCTGTAAAGGGGGGTCTGTATGTAAAATATTTGTTAGACCCTGTAAAATGGGGTCTGTGTCACCTATGAAATAAAAACTAGTCAAAAATAAAATAAGGTAGAGTCCAGCTCTACCAAGTTATTTTTATTAAATAATAATATAAAAGTATTGGATCTCCGTATGACTCTATGTAGAGTCTCTTTATAGATACTAATGTAAATGTAAATAGAGTAGGAAAACAAGAGCACAATAAAATGAAAGAAAAATAAAATAAAGTAAAATGGCTCTACCTAGAGTCTGGTCTTATTATCTATTCCTAGTTATCTATTTCAATTTAAAAATGTTAGAAAATATTTTAAAATAATTACCTTAAAAGTTTACTTCGCTCTACGTAGAGTCGTCTCTATCTCAATCCTACTCTATGTATTATACAGTTAAACCGTGTTAGGTAACTTAATTTCTAAAGATTAATATTAAATAAAATACAGAGAACAAAAAACAATATACAAAAAAACAAATATATTTTAAATGCTCTACATAGAGTCCGCCCCCCAGAATTTGTTAACTCTTTAATTATATTATTTTTTGACCCGGTCCGAATCGGAGCACTGGTTAACTTGTGACGATTTTAAGTTTTTCATCCCCCAGAGACTAAGTCCAGGAGTCAACTTAGGGGTAGGGGGTTGAAATTCAGCCCAAATGATCCGGTGGGGGCTGAAGACTATCCGTTGACTGGATAGTGTGGGGGGGTGACGGGGGGCCCCCCGAAAAAATTGTCAAAATTGAGCTAGGAGGCTCCGTTTCCCTGAAAACTGAAAACACAATTATCGTGCGGTTTTCAGGATCTCCCAACTCACACAAATAAATTTATAACTCTAAAACGACTTATCCGAAAATTCTGAAAAAACTAATGTAGATATAGTATTAGTTGTTGTATTATAAATTGTAATTAGTAAATTTTTATTCCTGAAAAATTTTTGAGTTTTAAAATTTTGAAAGTTGTGTTATGAAAACCAACAACCGCAAAAAGCCTCTAATTTGTGAACTGTTGTAGTAAAAATTTTGAAATAATTCTGGGATGATATATAAAGTTTAAGAAATATTCCCTAATTTTTTTCAGAATTTTCAGGAGTGTTTTTCAGGACCCACGTGTTTTTGCCAATTTTTAAAATTTTTCTTAAAATTATTAATTACACTCCAAAATTAAAACTTTTTATACAATTTGTTAAAACTCAAGTTCCTCTTTTAATTAAACTCAATATATATATATATATATATATATATATATATCGTCACTGAAAAACCAGAATAATTCACCTTTGAAGGTCCCTCCTGAAAGTCGGTATCTTCAAGGCGTGGTATCTCCGGTGTTTCTGGTCCGATTTTGATGATCGAGGTGTCGGATGCTTTGCCTCGATGCCCTCTTTGATTCTGCGATGTTAAAATCAGCCGCACGGCAAAAAACACGTGTCCACGTGGTTTTTGTTTTCCGAAAATATTTCGGTGCGCTGAAGTCGAAAATTTCCGATGAGTGGCTTAAACTGTTAAGCTCATCACGGCGCTTCTTTATGCACTATAAAAACTATATGTCTTCGATCTAGATCGAGCAGCGTTTAACTTTAAAAAAAATTTAAGGTTATAAAACCAGTTTTTTGGTGATAACTTTAAAACTATAACACTTTTATCACTTTTTTTATTGTATCTCTTTCTTCGTCTCGACGAGACGCGTCTAACGGTGTATAACACTTAAAGATTAGTGCACTTTGACCCGACACTTTGAATTTTCGAGCGCGGAGCGATATAAAAATGCTGCGTACGGCACGGCGTTTGGAGTGCAGCTCTGGGTTAGGTTAGGTTAGGTTAGGTTAGGTTAGGTTCCCCCCCGAACGGGTTCCCGCCTTGTCGTGGCGGGGGGCTTAGTAGCCGTGGCTTGGTCTCCCACGGTGAACAAAGAGGAACCCACGTGGCTGGCCCGAGGTGAAGGGCCGGCCTGAGGTGGCCACTCCGAGTGGGCTTGGGGAGCCCACTTCGGATGTGTGCTGGTGGACTGCAGCGAGTGGGGACTCCGCACCCTCTACCGCTGCAGTCGAGGTGGAGTCGCAGAGGAAGAGGAGTGTCGGTATTGCGAGGCGCCGCTCTCCCTATCCTCCGCAGCCGAATCTTGGTTGGCAGCGGAGCCATAGACCAGATCCGCCGCTGGGGTCGGGAAGGCTAGTACTTCTAAGTGCTCGTTTTTCCTGGCCCCATGGCCTTCGCGCATCGGACGCGGGGGCGTCTGTTGCGCAGATGCAATTGGAGGCCGTGGAGGAAGGCGTGCCATGTGTTCTGGTGCGCCTTACCTGGGAAGGAGAACAGGGAGCAATATTCCTCTCCCGAGGAGGTGCTGCCATGGGGCGGCAGTCGCTGGTAGGGCCGCGGAAGTGTGCGAAAGCGTTCCCGTAGCCCTGCCAATATGCGACGAAGGTGGAACACCATGGGGTTTTAGTCGGTGCGAGTGACGGGTTATGCATAGGCTTATCCGGGCAAGCTCTCCACGTACCGTTACTTCCTCCACACTCGAAAAAAAATCAAAAATAAAAAAACTTATTCAGTATCGGCTAGTAAGCAGAGAGTGACATGGGGGTCACTACGGAGGACCCTGGCGATGGCGGTGAAAGCTGTGCCTCGCTGGGGAGTTCAAAGGCGGAGCTCAACGCCGCCAAGAGGGAACAGCGCAAAGCCGTCGCAGCAGACGAAGTGTCTGAAATCCTACGTCCGCCTTTGGCGGCTGACACGCGGAGAACTGAGGAGCCGCCAAGACTTGCGCCTCAAAAGGGGAAGACCACGGAGGGTAAAAAAAGCCCGCGGAGGGAGCTCCTCCGAGCGACCAGCCCACGACAGCCGGGTCTAAGGGTGAGACATGGGCGAAAGTCGTGGGCCGCAAGAAGACCCGCAAAGCCGCCAAGAAGGCCGCAGCAGCTGCACACGCCCCAGGTGGAACCGCAAAGACGGCTCCTCAACCTGCGCGGTGGACTACCAAAGGCGGGCGCAAGAAACCGGCTGTACGTGTTCCGCGGTCCAATGCGGTGACACTAACATTGCAGCCCGGAGCTGTGGAGCGTGGCGTGACGTACCAGTCGATCATCGCTGAGGCCAAGGCCAAGATCAAATTATCAGATCTTGGCCTTCAGTCCGTCACCCTCAGGCAGGCTGCCACGGATGCGCGGCTGTTCGAGGTGGCTGGCACTGTGAGCGACAGTGCCGAAAAGGCGGACGCATTGGCCGCCAAGATGAGAGAGATCCTCAACCCTAAGGACCTCTCTCATCTTGGTGACCAATGAAAACCGCAGAAGTGCGGATTGCTGGCCTGGACGACTCCGTGACATCTGAGGAGGTGGTGGCGGCCGTTGCCAGAAGCAGAGAGTGTCCGCCGGACAAGGTGCGGGCCGGCGATATACGCACCGATGCCACCGGACTTGGCGCGGTCTGGGTTCGGTGCCCTGTAGCGTCGGCAAAGAAGATCGCCGATAGCGGCAGATTGCTGGTAGGCTGGGTGGCGGCAAGGACGAAGCTACTACAGCCCCGGGCTTTGCAGTGCCTGGAAAAAGGGCACGTCCAGGCGAAGTGTACCGCCGAGGTTGACCGTAGTGACCTTTGTTACCGCTGCGGCCAGCCTGGCCACAAGGCGGCCTTGTGCACCGCGGCGTTCAACTGCAGCCTTTGCTCTGCTGCGGGAAGGCTAGCGGAGCACAAAGTAGGCGGATGGGCCTGTGGGGTGCCTACCAGCAAGTCCATGGTCCAAAAAAGAAAAGAAGAGGAGCAACAAGTCTGCCGAGTTAACCTCGCTGCCCTCACAGGCCAGTAGCTCCGCGGCGGACTCCCGGCCCAGGACCGTTGCCGAGGGAATGGAATGTCAATAATGGTAAAGTTCCATTTTCCCCAGGGCAACATCAACCACTGTGCCAGAGCTCAGGATCTCCTACTCCAGAGCATGGCAGAGTGGTCGATTCACGTGGCTGTGGTCGCCGAACCGTACTTCATTCACGCCCGTGACTACTGGCTGGGATGCGCTGACGGTTTGGCCATTATTGGCGAGACTCTGATCGACCCATCTCGGGGCCGCGGCTGGGTTGCTGCGGTCTCGGGTGGCATCGTTATTGTGGGGGCGTATTTCTCCCCCAACAAGAGTCTCGCCGACTTTGAGGGTTTCCTTGTCAAGTTGGGCGCCGTCGTAGGCCGCTATCACCCTCGTCCCGTTCTGGTGCTCGGGGATCTCAACGCAAAGTCATCAGCGTGGGGATCTCCAGTCACTGATCCTCGGGGCGAGGTGCTAGAAGAGTGGACAGTGACGACTGGTCTGGTCGTCCTGAATTGGGGTTCGGAATACACGTGCGTGCGACAGCGAGGCGGGTCGATAGTGGACGTCTCGCTCGCTAGCCCCTCTGTCGCCAGCCGAGTCCGCGACTGGCGTGTCGCCGTATGGGTGGAGACGTTGTCGGACCATCGGTATATCCGGTTCGACGTCTCTGCCCAGACTGCGAGAGGCCGCCATCCAACTACCCCGATCAACGACGGCCCGCGTTGGGCGCTTAAGCGCATCGACAGGGAACTACTCGAGGAAGCTGCCTTAGTCCAGTCCTGGATCTGGGAGTCGGCAACGGACGGCCCCGTCGACGTCGAAGCAGTGGCGCTATGGTTTCGCGGGGCGATGACGCAGATCTGCGACGCGTCCATGCCCCGTGTCCGCCAACGGTCCGCAAGGCACCAGGTGTACTGGTGGTCCCACCGACCCTCAGGTCATACGGGCCTAATCTCGGGAGATGAGCGCGGTACTTGCACCTTGCTCTTTCCCGCGCGCACTTTCTTGACTCCCTACAAATATTTATTCTGTTCCTTGTCCCATTTTAACGTCATTCTCCCCCCTTCTGGGGCTGACGGCACAATAACGCCTACGTCGTCGGGCCTTCCTACCAGCATCCTATCCTGCCTTGTCCAGCGATCGTGCCACCTATGAGCAAACTTGCACAACAGTCCGTAGTTTACCACATCGCTGGCGAGATCCGAGTAGTAAATCGGTCCCTGAACCGTTCGAACCAGCCCGTCCCACACTTTCGCTCTTAGATCGTCATACAGAGGACATTCCCATAGGACATGGTGAACATCCTCCTCTGCCGTACCACACTCACACATACTGGTTTCACACAGTCGCATGTCATGCAGTCTCTTCCGAAAACATCCATGTCCAGTGAGAATCTGGGATGTTTGATAATCCGGTGAGACCCAGGTATACCTGAGTCTCAACGCCACCTCCGGGAAAAATCAATTTAACTCACGTCCTTTCGTTTCGTTTTTCCATCGATTCTGCCATACGCCAATCACCTCAGTCCAGGTATCGCGCTTTCGTCTGCTCAACTCCTCTCTGGGCGAGGTCAAGCGTTCCATACCCATCCTACCAGCACGAATGACCTCCAGGTCAGCAGAGAGAACGCCAGCTAGCACCGGTAAGGCCGCCGTGCTAGTGGACCGGTACGCCTTGGTCAACAAGACAAGTGCAGATCGTTGCGATCTCAGTAGTACGCTACGGACTGTGTACATGTTCGCCCGCTCGTACCAGCACTCTGCTGCATACGTGAGCGTGGACACAAACACTCCTCTGTAAATAATTTTTAAACTCGGGTATCGCATACCCCATGACGATGTCGATACGCGAGTCATTTTGCCAAATCCCTTAGTCGCTCTTTCAGAGATATCAGAAGCGTGTTGCACAAATGATAATCCTGAGTCCAAAACCACGCCTAGTACCTTAGCGGTAGTCACAGACTTGATTGATTCCCCGCCAAGTTTAATAATGGGGGGGCGCTGAAGTTTCCCTCTAACAGTCATGGTGGTAGACTTTGAGGAGGAGAACTTCAGTCGATTCCTTAGCCCCCATTCCCGTACAAGGTCCAGAGTGACCCGGGCCCTGGATTCAATACCTGCTCTCGTTGCCGATTCAACCAAGATTGTGACATCATCGGCATAGGCAGTCATGGCAACTCCCTCAGGCAGAGGGAGTCGAAGCAAATTGTCCATCAGCACGTTCCACAGTGTTGGGCCCAGCACGGAGCCTTGAGGACATCCCATGGTCGAAGTCTTCCACTCTACCCGGTCCCCGATGTAGAGGCCTACACGCCTGGAGGTGAAGTAGTCCACCAAGATTTTATAAATGTTAGGTGGACATCCACCCCTCTTAGCTTTGACCATCATCATCGGCCACCAGGCATTGTCGAAGGCACCGGAAATATCCAAAAAGATAGCTTGCACGTAGCATGCCCGAGAATACTTTGCGTTGCTGAGCAATACTCGCAGCGCTGTTACCGTAGATCGCCCCGGAGAAAATCCGTGTTGGTGCTTGGATATCCCGTGACTAATCACAGGAGTGCTCCTGTGATTAGTCACCTTAGAATTACACGTTCAAGTAACTTTCCCAAAACAGGCAGGAGCGTTATGGGACGATACGCCTTGGCGTCAGTGAGCGGCTTGTCATTACCCTTGGGAATGACAATCAATCTACCGTCCTTCCATACCTGGGGGAAAACCCCCTCTATTACACACTTGGCATACACCGAGTGGAATTCCTTCGGTGCAGCCATCCAAACATTCCTCTGAAGTGTAAGTCTAATATGTATGCTCCTTTAGTTTAGTAAGTGAGTACGCTACTTTATAACCGTATGTATTCTGAGTTTGCACTATACCTTATATGCATTATTTTAGATTATTACCAAGCATTTCATTAAATAGTACGTAACTAATGTGGTTGTTTCCTTGAATAACACTCATTAGGAACCCCAACATTACATGGCGACCCTGCCAGGATGACTCTGCCAAGGGGATTGTTAGTTTTAGTATAGTTAAATAACTACTTAATAATATATTATAATGTGTCGGTCAACTGTAAAAAAAGAAGAGGTTTTCCTCAGCCAAAACGCGGCTGGAGGCAACAATGACGCCACGTTGAAAGAAATCGGAGGCCACGTGGAGCGGCTTAGCATTGTGACCTATATTGTTCTGGCCATTATTGGACTCGTAGCAGTTTATGTGGGCCTGCGGATGTACAGGAGCTGCCACCGCACATGGATCCAGCAGGAAATTGGGATGAGTACCATGCAGAGAATCAGATCATCCATCAGAGGGCGCACAGAAGGTAACCAGAATCAGTAATTAGAAGTGAATGCATAGTGAAAGTGAAAATAAGAGTTGTGGGTTGTTAATTTTTTCGTAAAAATAATAAATATCAGTGAGTGAGCCAGTTATGCGGTATCATATTTCATAACGCTATAATTCTAAAGGTGCTAAAACCGCGCGCGGACATTCAGTAATAAGACACCAAACGGAAACAAAATGCAACGTCGGACTTTTTTTTTTTTTTCTTCGCATTTATGTAGAATGTGTAACATTTGTGCAATTATATTATTAAATTAAGAATATTATGGTTGATATTTTGGAAAAAAATTATGTCTGTTTAGTAGAAATACGTAATTATTTAGTAAAAAAAGGACAAACTAGATATAAGGGTAATGTTATTAAAACTAAGTTAGATCAAGCAAAAAGCGCATATAAAAACTGTTGTAAAATATATTTACTTATTGAAAAAAGTAAAGATATTAATTTGAAATCGGCAATAGATCTTTATCAGAAAATAAAACAAAAGTACGAGGAAATAGAAAAATTGTGTACTTTTCCCGTTACAATAGATTTAGGCAAAATGGATTTTGACATAAAGGTGGCGTGTAGTTTGATTCCAGTAATGGACGGTGCAGAGGCCACCACTAAGCGCCTAATAGACTCAGTGGAGATGTATGCTGACATGCTGGACAACCCAGGTAAAGTATTATTAATTACTTTTGTTTTGAAAAGTCGGTTGAATGAAAATGCAAAATTACGAATTGCAAGCTCATACAAAACTATCCAAGAATTAATTGATGATATGAGGAAATATCTTTTACCAAAAAAAATCATTTATGGCTATACAGACGAAGCTTCAGAATATTCAACAAGGCTCGAGATCCATTGAGGATTATGGTACGGAGGTAGAAACGTTATTTACAGAGTTGACAATTACTCAGGCAGATGGAAAAGAGGAAGTATTCTCGATTTTAAAACCAATCAATGAAAGTTTTGCCATAAAACGTTTTTCAGATGGCCTGCGTAGCGCAAAAATGAGCACCATCATCTCAGCACGCGGCTTCAGCAGCTTGAAGGATGCCATACAAGCAGCAAAAGACGAGGAGTGCACGTCTTTCCAACCACCAGGTAACATTTTGTATGCATCTAAAAATGGACACCACTCGGTACACAAATT